GAACAAGAACTTTAGCAAAAAAGGCCACTCCCAGTCACAGTACAACCTGAACAAATCCTTCTGTTAATAATGGTGACATGGGTTGCATAAAAGGGAGTGTTCTATACCACAGTTGCCAAAGAAGCCAATTTGTAGTGCAGAGACTCTACATGGAGRTGTTTCTCCAAGTGTGTTCTGTGGCCACCTGCATTGAAGTTACCCTGCTCAGAATGCAGATTCTTGGATCCCTACCAGAGAATGGACTCCAAAGCTGGGATCCCGAACATTGCTATATGCCAGAAGTTCATCCCGGGTCTATTTAAAAACATGGAAGCTCTATCCAAACAGGACCTTCCTAGTCAAAGAACTGAAGACAAAAAATTCCACACTGGYATCTAGACCACTGTCTACAATAACTATAATGGTCAATTTTCTAGGATATGCTCTTAGAAATTTTGTTATTAGTGTTTGATGTGGTAATGACTTAAGAATATGCTCCTCTTTTTTTCCAAACCAGGAAGATGAAACAGAGAATGTTATTTCATTGTGGGCAACTAACTGAATTGCCATATAAAACCCTTAAGCTCTTAAACTAGTTTTCTCCAGATCTTAAAATTTAAAGCTACATACTCTAAATCTGATGTGGCAAGCAGATTTGGCTAAGCTAAATGAAAGGCACAATTTAAACTCTCGTTATACTTATGTTCAGTTTCTTTAATCACCTAGAATATAATTTTTCCATCTGAAGATTTAATATTGAGTTATCACAGAACTGCTGAATGGGATTGTTTCTTGGGAGAAATTTCTATAGACCTTATGGACGTTGGCAAAATTATATTTCTAAATTGAAAATGAAGACTTTCAGAGAAGATTGTTATACCAAACTTTATTTAGGTATCTATCTATCTCTGTCCCTGGTCCCTTCCTCCCCCACCCCCTCCACTTTCCGGCTGCTATTAGCTGAGCAGCTTTTCCCTGCCACACCCCTCCACCTGGTGTTCTGTCTCATCTCGGATGCAGAGTGCTGGAGTTGGCGGACTATGGACTCTGAATCCATGAGCCAAAATACACTTACCCTGTACTACGTTGTTCTCATCAGGTATTTTGGTCACAGAGACAAAAAGCTAGAATATATATATATATATATATATATATATATATATATATATACACACTATACACACACACACACATACACACACACATACACACACACACACACACACACACACACTCTGGATACTGGAGTGGCAATTCTAGTTGTAGCAATGGGAAATAACAGGAAGAAGTCAAAAGTTAGATGAAGGCCTGATCCTCAGTCTCTAGTGCTCAAAAAGAATTACCTAGAAGGACTTGTGAAATGCAGACCCTTGTGCCCTCCCTCAAAGGATTCTGATTCAGCAGGTGGAAGCTCATACATTTTCACAGGCTCCTTAGGTGAATCTGCATTTTCTCCTCAGCAGGTCATACTTAGGAAAATCAACAGTGTCTATATCTCAGATTAGCAATTTGTATCATTGGTGTCCAGAAAGGAGGGTATCTTGTCTCAATCAAAATGAAGTGAGCAGGAGTTGAGAGGTTTGAAGATTCAGGTAGGCAGGATAACAGGCTGTGTGGTTTCCTAGGCTGCCCTGCAAATCACCACAAACGTGGTAGCATAAAATAACAGTCATGCATTCCATCACAGCTCTGCAGGCCAGAAGTCCACAATCCAGGTGTTGGCAGGGCTCTGCTCTCTCCAGAGGCTCTAGCAGAGAATCTGTTCCTCACCTCTTCCAGCCTCTGATGGCTTGTACCTGCTCACTCCGATTTCTGCCCCTATGTTTCTCCTCCTCTCTGGGTGTCTGTTTTAAGGACACTGTCATGGGCTTAGAACTCACTGTGAGATAATTCAGAATAATCTTATCTTGAGATTCTTAGCTACATCACCAGAGACCTTTTTCCCAAATAAGATCACCATCTCCACTTATGAAGATTAAAATGTAGACATATATTWTTTGGGGGCCCCATTCTACCAACAAAACAGGGTAATTCTTGGAGAACAAGCTATCAGGGCAAAAGGAGAGAGGAGGGTCTGACTCTAGCACTACAGAAATTCATTTGAGGAGAAGTAAGGAACACTGAGACTTAGGAAGCAGACAGAAGCTGGCCACTAACAGACGAGCGGGTTGGAGTGGGATGAACAGCAGAACTGACTTTTGTTATTATCCTGAGTTTCTGAATCAGGATTCTCTAATCCCTACTAACGGGGACATGACTGCACTCCTAGTCTGGGACAAAGCTAAGCTGCTCCAGCAAGTAGACATCCAGGGGCTCTAGGAAGATTAGAAACTGGGAGTCAGAATGAACTACAATATGACTGCACAAATAAGCAGAATCATAAAGCGCCACCTCTTATTGAATACCTGCTACTTGACTGACACTTTACATTTATTATTGCTTCTTTTCAACACAACCTTGCAATATGGGTATTGCAAGGTGAGTTCCCATTTAACCTATGAGAAAAGAGGCTTTTAAAGATTAAAGCTACATAGCAAATAGGTGGCAGGGCTAGAATAGAAACCCAGACCATTCTGACTCAAAAGCCCATTCTCTTTACATGCTACCTCTCAACAGACAAATAGCCTATCTCACATTTTAGCACGTTATCTTCCAATACCTCCTCTTGTCTCTTGGAATGCCTCCCTTCTCCTCCTCACCCTGGAGTTCACCAGACACAAAATGCGGAAGCATCTGTTTTTTTCTACCAAAGACCCTACATTCAAAACATTGCTAAACCAGAATCACGAGTATGGCTCTGGATTGTGAACTCTTGCTTTCTTGCGGCTGTTATATTTTTCTTTCTGCAATCACTTATGGAGAACCCAAGTTTTCACAAGGCTGGGGTCCCAGGTTGTTTCTAATGTAAGATGCAGGTCTATAACTGTATGAGTGGCACCATCCCTTCTCCATAACTCGCCCCCACCCACATCCACTGACTGCATACTTCAGTGATATTATGCAGATRATAAGTACAAGCAGCTACAATACTGTAGTGGAAAGCGACACTGATGGAATGCGATAAAGGATGTGCAATTATACCTCTAGCTCAACCAGGAATTCCTGTCTTTGAATACCACCATTATCTGCCCTGAAGATAGAATCAGTCCTATCAGTGTCAACAAATGTTTGCATCCTAGGCCATCAATCTTCTGCTTGTTAAATCCAAAACCAAAATATTMCTGAGCCTGGCGCAGGGTTTAATAGTACTTTTAATTCATCCAGTATCAGAAAAGGGAACACAACTGAAGTATTAAGGAGCCTTAGCCTGAACTGACCTATGTGGTCTGACCCTTCATAGGACTGAGTATATGAGTTTGGGGAAAATAATAATAATGGTGAAAAGGCTCAAGATATTGCCATCTTCTTCGTCATGCGTGCACTATTTCAGCTGCTTTACAGGATTCTCAGTGGCTGGAACTGTAGATGATGACGTGGTCTTCACATTTAGGCCTCTCCCCACATTCCTGCAGGGGTCCCTGTTCCCGCTCAGCCTCACAAGAGGTTTCAATTTTAAGACCCTTGAAAACTTGCACCAGTACAGAAGTCAGCTTGATAATCATTTACAATACTTCCCTACTGACAACTTCTAGTTACTGAAAGGAAAAAAAAAAAAATATTTCTTAAAGTATTTTGGAATGGATTTGGGTCACCGTTTTGCTTTCGGTGGGAAAACTTCCTAGGAAACCGAGGGTGTGGAGCGCTGGTGCCAGCGGCGGCATTCGTGGGGAGCACCACGTCATCATGAAAGCGTGTACTTCTTGGGATTACTGCTGGGGGGATTAGAAGCCTGCAGATCAGTTCTAGGTTAGCCCTGATTAAGTGCTCTGCGTGGGCCAGAGGAGTTGCCTGTTGGGATCCAACCAATACGGTGGTAAGATTTCATTTGACAAAGAGTTAATTTTTTACTTAAAACAGATCTAGGCTAACAACGCAGCGAGCAGGAATGATCTGGAATGGAAGCTAAATGGTGCCCACAATCGCGTCAGCCGAACCTTCTGCCCCCACGATTCTGTCTGCCCATATGCTTCTGTCTATCAGCCTCGCCTCGGGTTCAGCTCTCGCTGCGGCATTGGTTGGATTTCAGGAAGGGGAAACCCCACGATTTAAAGGGCTCGGTTCCCACCTGCCAGGCTTCGTCCGCATGGTCAGACTTGCCTTTGGCACATATTTGGGAGAATCTCTTGCAGTTTTTCATCGATTACACCGACCGGTCAAAGGAAAGAGAGTTCCCGAAACTGTCCCCTTGGTCACCTTGAATATTTCCAAAAGCGAAACTTGGGCTCCACACTAGATCCACACTGAGTCTGCGGGGTGCGAAGTCCCTGCCCAGGTCAGCAGTGCCGGCCCCGCGGGCGGGGACAGGGGCGGGGCCTGGACCAGGCGTGGTCTTCCGTGGGAGAGAAGGGAAGACTTTGCCCCGCCCCCTAAAAACTCTCCTCTGTTCCCCACCAATCAAAGCGGCCTATGCAAATAGGGCCCCTGTCGCCCCGGTAACCATGATGCACGGCAGCCAATCGAAACCAACTACTCGCGGCCTTGCTCCACGATTGGGACTGAGGTAAGGAGGTAGAGACCCAATGGGCTGTGGGAACGATCCTCGGCGGGTTGAGGGGCGGGGATATGCAAATATGGTTTGAAAAGCCGGCGGGAAATCCGAGTTTCGCGGGAGGACCTTGGCGCGTAAACCGTATCCCTTCATTCATTGTCAGCAGCAGCTTCCTGGAGCCATTTTTCAGCTGCCGGCCGCAGCACCCGGGCTGCCGCCGCCGCTCAATCCGTTGCATCGGCTGCCCCCGACGCCTCCATCCCCCCTCGGGGCCTGATATCCTTGCGGCCGGGACCCTCCTCTCTCCAGAGCCCCGATTATTTTTGGCTCCCGGGGCTTGTGCGGTGCGGAAAAATAAAAAGAAAAGAGAGAGAGGGGGCTCGGAAGCGTCGGGCGGGGAGGAGAGAAAGAGAGACTTGGAAACTCCGACTGCAAATAATAAAGAAATTGAAAGCAATACGTTAATATTCCATAACACTAAAAAGAGCAGGAGCGAGAGATGAGAAAGGGGATCCAGCCCGCCCTGGAGCAGTATCTGGTGACCGCCGGGGGTGGGGAGGGGGCGGCTGTCGTCGCCGCCGCCGCTGCAGCCTCCATGGACAAAAGGGCACTGCTAGCCAGCCCCGGCTTCGCCGCCGCCGCTGCCGCCGCCCCGGGCGCATACATCCAGATCCTCACCACGAACACTTCCACCACCTCCTGTTCCTCCTCCCTCCAAAGTGGCACGGTCGCCGCCGGCCCCCTACTCCCCAGTGCCCCCGGCGCGGAGCAGACCGCCGGCAGCCTCCTCTACACCACGCCGCACGGACCCTCCAGCAGAGCCGGGTTGCTGCAGCAGCCACCAGCGCTAGGACGCGGCGGCGGCGGCGGCCCTCCGGTAATACCCTCCCTCCCCACCGTCCCCAGCCCAGGCGGGAGGTGGGCTCGCCCCGCGTGGGGTGGTGGGCGCGCGGCGGGCCGCCTGGGCGAGCGCGAGGCCGAGCGCCGCGGGCCTCGGAGGCTGCCCCTCCAGCGCGGGCTTATTGTTAGACTCGTGTGCTTCCCCCAGCCCTGGGAGGACGAGGGGTCCCGGCCCGGCGCGCGGGGCAGCGGGGACCGGCTTGGCGCGAACCACACCAAACACTCCAAAACTTTTCGCGGCCCCCCCTTCTTTTCCTGCACTTTCCCCTACCCCCACCCTCCCCTCCCCTCCAACTCGAAGCTTCCTCTTTCTCGGGCGTAGGAAGGGGTCACGCCCCGGATGGAGAAGGGGTGGGGGAGGGAGTAGTGAACTGGGGAGTCGGGGACCCCGGGGGGTGGGAACTGGGGCGCGGTTGGGGTGCTTGACCCCCGCCGGCCTCGGAGGCCCGGGCCCGGCCGGGGGTCCCTGCGGCGTGCGCCGAGCGCAGGGGGCTCCCCCGCTGCGCTCGCTTGACACATTTGGGATCTGGAACTCTGCGCAACAAAGGGGCTGGGGAGGCGGCGGGGAGCCGGGGCCGGGGGAGGTCGGGCTGGCAGCCAGGTGCAGGCCGGGGCGTGGGCTGTCTGGGCTGGGGGCAGGGGGCTGGGGCTGGGGCTCCGGCCTGGGCGCATCCTGGCGGCGGCGGCGGCGCCCGCGTGGCCGGAGCGCCCGGGCCTTCCACGCCGGGCCCGGGCCTGCCCTTGACCCGCCTCTCCCCTGGCCCCTTCCTTCCCCGCCCTGTCCCCCTCCCCGCTCCCCGGCGACGGAGGGCGGGGGCAGCTGGGTTCCCGTCCCGCCGCCTGGGTCTGTCCCTCTCTCCGGGACCCGCCGGTGACGTTTCGCACACGTGCGCGGAGGACGCGCCTGTGACTGGGGAGGAGGCGGCGGCTGGAGGGGGAGAGGGGGCACCCACTTCCTCCTGCTCGCCGGCTCCCTGGCCTGGGACGGTCCCGGCGCCCTCGCACCCGCCCCCGGCACCGCCACCTCCCTCCTCTCCCCACCCCCGGCGCCCGCCCGCGCCCGGCGCCGCCGGTCTTCGGCCCTCGGGCCCCCTCTCCAGCCGGCCCCCCACCTCCCCCCGGAGCCAGGCGGGTTTCGGAAATGCCCTTACAGCAGCAGGTTAGTGACCGGACGGCCCGGGCCGCCGCCGCCGCGGGGCGCCGGGTCCTGGTGGGGGCTGGAGCCGCGAGGGTAGGCGGGTGAGCGGGGTTTTGGAGTGGGAACGGGGGGTTGGGTGCTTGAGGGAAATGAGTAAGCAAGAAAAATCTAACTAAGTCAATGCCCCGGCCTCGGGTCCTAGGAACCCCGGGGCGGGAGTGGCCGCCCCGGGGGGTGGGTATGGTGTTTACGGGGATTTTTTGTGGGGGGCCGAGGGATGGGCGATTGAAAACCGGAGGGGCTTCTCGCCCATGGCCGAGTTGAGCTCTGTTTTCTGTCTTCCTTCCCTTGTGCTGGAGGGGGAGGGGGCGGGTCAGAGGGTAGGGTGTCTGTAGGGTTCCCAGGCCACCCGCCACCCCCTCCCTTTGTCCCTGTAATTTATAAAGCGCCTTTGAGAGATGATTTAGGTCAGTATGCGGCTTCTCTTTTTGTTGGTACTAGAAAGAAGTATGGCCCGGAGGTCTAACCCTTTTTCCTTTTCTCTCCTTCATTCCCTTCCTCCATGCCTCCTGGTCTGCACCCTCGTGGTGAGCCTTGGCCCCATGAGGCTAGAACCGAACCAGGCTCGTTCGATAAATGGTGGCTTGATCATACCGGTAGTGGACCTCACCTGGTCTTAGCTCCAAATGGGTTCATTTTTTGCAGAATCCAGGTTTTGCGGGGGTCTGTAAGAAAGTCTGCACATGGGCAGCACTTTGGGAAATGGGGTGGGTGTGGGAATAATTGCAATTTTAATTTTTTCCTTGTTCCTAATTTCTCCCCGGGTTCCATCTGAAGTGCTTTCCAGTACCAGAGATGTGTGATACAGTCTCAGTCAAAAAAGCTCATCGTTTCTTTTAGTGACTAGGGTCTGCCAGCAGGGGGGAAGCGGAGTACAGTACCTGCTTACTCTACAGTATTTCTGTGCTGGGTTTTCAGTTCCAAGAATATTCCACAGTTTTATTGGCATTAAATGTCTTGCTATTTGACCTAAACATGCTTGGACATATATTAAGCATATTTCCCCCTACACAGTTCTGTTACTACATCATAAACCTAACCTGAAACAAACAGCTTATTGACATACTTCTTGGATCAGATTGAGATTTATGGGTGGTAGTTTTGATAATGGGAAATTGTGAAACCACTAAATAACCTTTTTTTTTTTTTTAATCTTAGAATGCTAGTTGGACCACGTCTGCAGGACGGACTGACTGAATTTTTATGTAGTTTGCCGTTTTTAAGTATTTAAAGTATAAAAATTTGCCTTCACCACCTTCCARGTTATTTCAGAACTTTATCCCCATTGTGGAGGGGTTATTATTCCAAGAATATATGTTCRTTAGAATTTGTACCACACAATAATTTTTCATTACATGAATAAATGTATGTAATACAACTTATGAGTATTCAGAAGCAGTTTTGTATAAGATTGCAGTGCTGAATAGTTGGTTAGTCTGTGTTTTAATTGCTGGGTCTTCTGGGAGGGGTAGGCAGTCGGTGCATACAAAGTCCTAAACACTACACGTGAAGTTTGATTTCTTTTTTTCTTATCATAATTTTATCAGACTTCTATTTCAGTGTTGAAATTTGTTGATATTCTTTCCCTAAGCAGGAGCTACCGGATGGGATAGCTAAGTGATTGTGAATAGCCAGGCCCACCAAAATACTTTCTGTCCAGGAAGATCTTGAGAATTCTTCATGTGGCCAGAGCTGCAGATCCATCTGGTTTTGATTCCAACTTCTGTCTCAAGAACATCTAAGAACTTAACCAGGAACAAATTCCTCACCTTTTTTAATGGGAGAGAAATAGATGAGGGAGGCTTACTGGCACAGCCTCCTGTCATTTACAAGGTGTCTGGTTTAGGCAAATAGCTTAATCTCTCAAAACTAGTTTCCTTTTCTGTACAATAAGGACAATAACAATACGAACTTCAGGGTTGTTTTAAAGAACTAAATGTGATAATGAATTTAAAATAGCACAGTGTCTGGCAAAGAGTAGATTTCTATAACATTATTCAGACATGTAATTTTTTTCCTAACAGTGAAATGGTATAAGGCCACATGCCTGCYGCTCCTTTGTTTACCTGTGAACAGAATAGTTGAAAGTTTTCTAAAGTGGCATGTAATTGATTTATACGTACATAATTTTAGGTTTTTAAGGAAATAAACCATGGTCATCCTAGCGATGGATAAAACAGGGATATTTCAGTAAGGCATGCCTGTGGTAGAGGTGGTGGTATTGAGCTTCCCGAGTGGGTGCCTTGGGCTGTGACAAATTTAGGTCAACTCATCCTCTACTTTTAATACCTGGGTTCCTGCTTCCCATGATTCCATGGGCCTGCCAACTTAGGATGCAGTTTATGCTTAGTGGCCCTTGTGAGAACTGAACTTTCAACCTTTACTACTTTCACTACATAAATCCAGTCTTACATTTGGAGCTGTTGGAAATTGACGAACTCCAAAGAAACCTCAGGTCAGRAGTGCTCTTTACTGGAGCCAGACGGGCTTCATCATGTTCTGCCTCTTCATTTTTCTAGAAAGAAGCTGATAATATTTCATTCTTCCAGAAAATTTGGGATCTATTAATGCAAGAGGCAGTGGCCTGTCACATCAGATTTAATTTAATCCAACCATAGCAACCTGCTGATGATACTTTGGGAAAGAGCTCTCGATGCTTGAAATGTTCATCTGAGAAGGGAGGAACCGGAGGTGCTATTTCAGCAGGGTCTCTTTTCCTGCATGAGTATAAAAGAAGAAAAATGCCGGCTCCGCTCCTGTGGTTCTGTACTCAATAATCTTGCTGCTGAGATACACGGTTGATGCCAAGTTTAAGCTGACAGAGAATTTTTAGTCACTACATACCCCAAAATGGAAGTTTTAATATAACCCACGGCCCAGACTCAGGGCAGTACCAATGACTTCACTATAACCGGTCCCAGGCGCCTCTGGTCATCCTAGGAACAAAGTGCCCTCCACCGGGGCACCCAGCAGGGCAACTCAGCCTGAGAGCAGGAAAGGGGTTTTTTGTATTTCTATAAATTGCCACCTTGTGTAATACTTGGAAAGGTAGATTCCGAGATTAATGTGGGGCTGTGTAAAGCTAACTTGAAAACAGAAAATAATACTCTAAGCTGAGATGTGAATAAATAACAACACCTGGAGACTGGGGGGGGGAGGCCTGTGGTTTCTCAAATCTGAGGCAGTAGTTTTCCTTTAACTCCTCTCCACTACCATCCTCAAGATGCACCACCCACACCCTAACCCCCTTTGCAGGGACTTGGAACCATTTGGCAAATGGCTTCAGATACACAGGTTTATTTTCTGGCTGGTTTTCTAACTTAACCTGATTTATAAATATCCTGTGTGTATGACCACTCACATCCGCTCTCCCAAGCTAACCAACTCCCAATCCCTTTTAACCATCTACTTTCTTTCTTTCTTTCTTTCTTTCTTTTTTTTTTAAGAGAGAGAGAGAGAGAATTTTAATATTTATTTTTTAGTTTTTGGCGGACACAATGTCTTTGTTGGTATGTGGTGCTGAGGATCGAACCCGGGCCGCACGCATGCCAGGCGAGCGCGCTACCGCTTGAGCCACATCCCCAGCCCCTAACCATCTACTTTCTCATAATAATTAGGATAGGTGGAAATCAGTCACCTGCACTCGGCAGATCAAGCCCCTCAGAGAAACTACTCCAAAGAGTGCAAGGTAGAGGGGTGGACTTCAGTTCTTATCAGATTCTGTTTCATTTTGTTTCTTAAAGAGGGGGACTTCTCTGAATTCTTGGAGGTACTAAGTA